CCCAGTTCACAAAATCGTGAAATCGCTTATCGCCAAAGAAACTTGCATATTTTTTGCGGGGTCTAGGCGCGTATGAGGGAAGATTTTAAAACGGGAGGGTGACATACGGGGTAGGAACACATGCCTGAAATTTCAGCCCCCCAGCTTTCGTGGTTGCTGAGATAAAGTAGATACAAAACACGCGCGCACACACACACACACACACACATCCTCTCGACAATATGCGACTTTGCTAGCTGTGCACAGCAAAAACGCATAAAAACGAAGGCATATCATGCGCCGGGCCGAGTTTTAGCGGCGGACCCGGAAACGGCAACCACTAAAACTCGGCTCGACTGCGCAAATATGCACTCATCAGTGTTTTCGGCTTCGAGTTTAGGAAATGATGGTGCCCGGTTTTTGTCTAGCTGAAGTTCTAAGTCTCGCGTTCGCAAGAATATTAAGCATCAGAGCTTTGGCTGAGTGTGTGCAGTCCGTAGAGGCATCCTTTCTCATGAATGCAGCGCTTTTCCCTCCGTTACAACCTTCGAGATCTAAATCACTCCTCCCCCTCTCCTACCCCCTGCACTTTCATCCTTCAAGCCCTGCTCTCCAAACCCTATCCCATAATCAGCACAACGGATGTTGCCGAGCCGAGCAGAATAACCGCCAGCAGTCGGCTAAGGCAGGTAGTACAAGCACAACAGTGCTGCAACAGATATCTGCGTCCTGCAGGCCGCTTCGTTAAATACGATAGCGGTGGAATTGTGGCCCGAGAGGCTGCTGATGCTCGGTGGGTTGGTTTGGTAGAGTGTTACTGGTGGTCGGCCGGGGAGGGTAGGGGTGAGGAGGAGGGGGACTGTTGTTTGCGTCTTGGTTGCGCGGTGCTTTCCCGCTGGAGAGGCGATCAGGCGCGGACCGTGATAATTCTGCGGCCGTTTTTTTTGGAAAAATGCAAATTTCTAGTTCACTAAAAAGTGGAATTATTGCTCGAGCGGTCGTTTATCAAAAAATGCACTTCATTTACATGTACGATTATGGTTAAGGTCCGAGCCGAGAACAAATTTTTGAAAATATGCAAATTTTTAGTTCATTGAAAAATTGGAAGTACTGCCCGAACGGTCGTTTTTCAAAAAATCCACGTTCATTCGCATATACAATTGCGGTTCAA